AAACTGTTACTTTTCTGAAGGTTTGTGTCGCTTAATAATAGTATCATATTTGAAGACAGACATTTTTGATATAAATTGGCTATCGCAATATAGGTTTTATTGGTTGTGTGGTAGTTAAAGAAGTAAACATATCTATCGAAGCTGGAGCAACTGGCACATTGACTTTACTCATAAATGGTGTACTACTGTCAGGATGGTGTCATACAAAGAATATCAAGGCATCTAGGCACGGGAATTAAAATTTTCAGTGTGCGAGGTCAAATTCTTCGCATATTTAGATGATTAAATGGCTTGTTAATGCATTTTTTAAGTGACTATTCTTCTTTACTATTTTTGCACATTTGAACTTTCATATAAACAGTAAATATAGAAAACATTAAAAAATTAAAAGCATTTAATTAGCAGGACTAATTGTAAAAGCCGTTAATCAATTCGAATGTTCGTTTCCGTGATTGCATGCTACATAAATTGTGAATTCGCTCATGACCAATTTTATTCATTTATGCAGAAATTATTAAAATGATGCAGGTATTTTTGAATTTAATTTGAAAGCCATGCTTTTTCTTTGTTTGCAAGTACCATTGATTTAGTTTATTTCAAGTAGGTTTGAAAGGTGGTTCACGATTCCTGTAGACTATCGGGGTACTGTAAATTTTGCCAACCTGAATGCATCGACGGCGTATTGACTGTAGCATGAGTGCGCAAGCGATTTGTTAAGATTAAGTTTACTGTTCGTGCTAGGGTTAGGCTGACGTGTAATTGCTGTTGGGTTGATGTAGCTGCTGATTATTGTTTATTGCAGTCTGAGGGGAATGCAGTGGTCACTTTGTTTGATGACGTAATATTTGGTGATGTGCTTCGGTCCTTTTAGTCAAAACTAGTTAGCTGTAATAGGCGCGCTGCTGTCAATTGGTAAATGATAGATAGATTGCCTGGGCACAAAAATGGGCAACTTGGAATCATTGACAAATTAAATGACTATTTGCTCAACGGGACGACTTCAACTTTTACCGTAGTGTTCTAAACATCTTTACACGGGTGGAAATTCGTCATCTGTGTTCAAT